TGAAGCGCCCGCTAGGATTGAAGCATTGTGTACGACCAGACAACATCGACGCATTGACTTAATTACACTTCGACTCTCACAAAACAAGTTCACTGGCCGAGGCGAAACAGACACTGGGGATCGCCTCTATGGTACGGAAATCCTTCAGTAGCCACACCGATGCGGGAGCGTCGACGCACTGTACCCGATCACTAGTGATGACCCTGAGTAAAGCTGCCCTCCTCACATGGTTCCTCTCTGCCCAACCGTCTGAGCATGTTCAAGCTTTGGGTCCTCGTGACTGTCGGGATCAAGAAACGTGGCCGCACAAGATGGAATCTGCCCAGATTCCACATCATCGCAAATCAAACTTTGCCGTCATCTCTAAACACTTGTACAGCAACACAATGATCGCGCATGTGTTCAACGGTCAAGTGGACCGAGGCTCGCAAAGCGATGGACATGTACTACAATGCTCCGACTGCGACCGACAAACAAAGTCCATTCTTTCCATTCGCCTAGAGTGCAAGCAGGCTCCGTGTATATCGACGAGCCCGACCGCCTCGCGGCATTGATGTCGATGCAGACGACAGAGTTCGTCTTGCCCGCACTCGTCCTCTTTCGCAATACCACCTGGGGCAAAATGTTCATTCTGCTGCTGGAACAAGAGAACCACTCATTCCCGACGAATAATCTGAATCCGCGGACCTCGTAAGATTCTTTTGGCTCCTCCTTCTCCAACAAGACGGGACCGGCAGCCAGTTCTATCCCGCCCTGTAGCCGCCATGATATGAGAACGGAGTAGCGCAGCATCCTGCAGAAATCGCAGTCTTTCGCGGCAAGCTCCAAGTCGGCCCAGCACGCATGAATGAAGACTCTTCTGTTGCGTTTTGTTCTCCATGCTCTAGTCAGCCTTCCTAGGCAGTCCGTTGGCCGCCATGAATCGCACAATTTTGAGTCAGGCTTCGAGTGGGCCACAAGGCGCGGGTCTTCTTCTGGAGAAAGGGGCTCAGGATTGAGAGGTGGCATGAGGGCCTTGCTCTGTGCCTCGGACTCATTGGAGAACTGCTTCATGGGAGTGAGAATGATGTGCAGAGTCGAATCGATGGGCCGGTTTGGTTGTGAGGCCCGCGTTGAAGGCGACACCGTGGTAGCTCAGTCGGCGTCTCAGAGCTCCGCTTTTGAAGGCTGTTTTAGAGCCTAACAAACAGAAGCCATTCTAGAGCGTCGCAGGACTGCTTCAAGGCACAAGCCAAGGTCAGTGGAGGATATAGAGCGGGCAACTGGCTAGAGCGCAAGGAGCAGCCCAGGTAAAGGTCAATGCAATGACACGAGACAACCCACTTTCCTCAACCGTTCAAGTACTGCGTGCATCAGTCAGCTCTTTAGCAGCACCCACCAGAGATTTGATATGTACCTCGTAGTCCCAGAGAGTCGCAGCGAGAACAAGCACAGCAGACACGAAAGATACAAGGTAGCGAACCGAGCTCGTTAAACGTCAGAGTTACACTGTGATGTCGAGCAGGACAGGGTCGTCTCGTCGACTCACCTGCATCTACCAGATAGCAAGGTCTGTGAATGAAAGAGATCAACTCGGAACCGAGTCCATTTTCTCAGAATGGTAATGAGCTTTAATACCACGACAGGCTTTATCCGACCGGGCCCCATTTCCACTAGTGTACGAACATTTCATCCTTCGAGCCCAGGTTTCCAGCCTTCGCTACATGACCACCAACGCCGCTGCTAATAGCACAATATTGGACCAAGAGTCTCACGAATAGATTGGGAGGACTCTTTTCCCAGATCTCGGTCGAAGCTTTGGAAGGCGCCCATACTCCGTTCCCACGGCCCCGCGTTTTGCCTGCACCGAATTTGCCGTTGCGTTGCTGCCCCCCAGACCATCATCTTGGAAGACCTGCAAGGTATTGATCGCCCAGTGAGCATCGACAAAGTCCGCGGGATTGTTCGCCACATATTCTTCGCAGGTGGGTGCCAGAGATGCGCAGGAAGATGTGTTCCAGAAGGAATCAGTATGAGTACCATGGCGCCAAATTAACATGTTCTGCTTACCTGCCCGCAGAAGGTCGTGTCGAACACGATCTGGAGATTGTTGAAATGATCGTCGAGATTGAATGATCCTTGGAACAGCGAGTTTCGGGTACCCCAGTTTTCAGACGGGGTTGGATTACTGCTGACAATGTCATCGGGGAAGGTGCCTCGCGGGAAGAACCATATTTTGATGAAATCCGCCGTCCACTCAGTTGCAAGCACACCTCCCCCGGCCTGGTTGAATTCAGGCCCAAGGTCAAATTAGACATGTCGCCGATTGAACAACCTGCGTTCATCGGTTGGTCGGGGGCGTTGACGTCGCAGTTGGATGTAATCAGTTCACCCGAGAAGTCGGTGCCATTGCTGACCACTGCACCTTGTCCGGTATGCAATGTCATGGAGTTGGTCGGTTGATCATTGACTCCCTCGACAATGTCGATTTCTCCGTTATTCGGCCAGTTTGCGCCCACCATCCAAAATGCAGGCCAGCTACCACAGACGCCCCCGGGCATGTGAACAATATCGGCGATGACCAAAGCATGCTGGAAAGATTGTGACGATGAGACGCCTACACTGGCTCGACCCTGCGGAGCGACATTTTCAGTGTCCACACCCATGTAGATGGCGAAAGATGCATTTCCTCCTTCTATGAATCCTGCTATGCCTGTTGCATTCGCCTGCTCCAGAGATTGGAATTGTACCAGGGCATCGGTCGGATCCGGGTCGGTGAAGAAGTCGAAGCCTTGCCAGAAGGCGTCGCTGGAGTAGTCTTGGATCAATTGGTACACGGCCAGTGCAGGTTGCTGTCCTGACCACCTCCGTCGACCACTTGAGAAGGCTGTGAATGGCTACTTCGCCTGAGGACTCTCCTGAACTAGTCCGCGAGCGACTACCTCCGTCAACGGCGCCTTCTGGCATTGGCAGTGACAGTGGCAGGCTTAAACGAGTGCGCAAACGGACTACTAGGCTAGTCGAGGCCAGGCAACAAGGCTTCCT